TCTTCTTCTTCTTTTTTTTTTTTTTTCTTCGATCGATCCATCAATACTTTCGTACTTTTTTCCTCTTCGAATACCGGATCCACAAAGGTTCACCGATCAAATCGATCGCGCGACCGACATCGTACTCCATCGCGACTCCTCCTGAGCAATCGCGTTCGCTGCCTCGTTAAACTGCGTTCTAAAGAGAGAATGCGCTACATTTCCCTTCGCTCGAACTTTTTCCGCGTCTCGATGTGCGTGTAACGAGCTCGATGCCATTACCCCGGACTACTTCGCCAACCAACGATTTATTAGAAACGTGGAATGGATTCGATTCTTCCTCGAGGGAAAAAAGAAAAGAAAAGAAAAGAAAAAAAAAAACAAAAACGCGGAAACGTGACGGTCGAACGAGCTCGAAAACGAGCGCGATATTATTACCATGAACAATCTCGAACGAATTCCGGCTATCTCCTCCTTCCTGGCCTCCCGTTGAACCTCCCGTCTCCCCTGCTGGCTGGTCGTCTCCCAACGATTCTTTATGTCGTCCATTTTCGTGAAACTGATCGGCCGCTCGCGGGTCGCGCGTTTCGCCTTCACGATCTCGTTGTCCACCTCTGTGAAAACGGAGAACAGATCAACAGACGAAAGAATATTACTTTGTTATTTCATTATATGCTTGTAGCTTCGTGTCAATGAAAATACAAAAGTTCGAAGTTCGCTTGTCAACAAATCTTTATATTTTCGCGTCAACTGACATCTCAAGAATCATCCTTTCGTCCGACCACGACTTTATACTCGACTTGCATATCAAAAATCGTAAATTTCCTCTGCTAGGAAAGTAAGCATAATGGATTGAAAAATCACTTATGAGAACGAGAAACGTGAGAAGCTGCCGTAGCTTTGAAACGGTCGAGGCTTCGCTCCAAAGAGAGAGAAAGGAAAAAGAGGGGAGCTGGTTGCCGTGGTCGTGGAAACACGGAGATACGTAAAAATACGTGGAAATCTCGATTCGAATTAAACGTCTGCCTGTCCTCACCCTCCGTCTCCTCCGCCTCTTCCTCCTCCTCGCTCTCGCTCGACTCTTCGTAAGGGATCCCATTCAACGACTCGTCGGCAACTCCGATATCCATGCCTTTCGCCTGGAATCTGGACAAAAATATGTGCAAACTGGTGGCAAACATTGGATAGAATTTCTGACTGCTTGGCACGCGGGCAACGCCGCCGCATTATTCGCCCTCCTCCCCCGTTCCTCTCTCGCGATCGACCGAGAAATCGCTGATCGCGGATTCATATACGTTGGCAAATTCATCGTCGACTCGTCGTCAACGAATCTTCGCTTGCAAATTTTTTCCTCAACGACTCGGATTCCCGTCATCGTTTCGAATTACGAACCGTCCCCGCTTTTAATTTCTCCATTGTAAATCGATATCGAAATCCTTGAACTTGAAAAACTTGTAACGAAACTTGTCGAGATCGAAAGAAATCCAAGGATATATTATCGATCATCGATAAAGCGACTTTGTACACACGAGAATAATAATAATAATAATAATAATAAGAAGAAGAAGAAGAAGAAGAAACGGCGTGTGCATTCGCGTGGATCGTAACGCGAAAGATGGAATGGAAGCGTCGAAGGAGGAAAAACCGAGTGCAGGGACGGAGTATGGTTGCGTCCATCGTGGTGGAAACGAATCTGTGTCACGGCTGAGACACGTCTCCTCGGCCCACGTACGTCTCCGTTCGTATATGGCGGCACGTTGGAAACGAGAGAGGAGAGAGGGAACGAACGAACGAACGCCAAGCTTGGATACGCGTGAACCGAAACGATGGATCGCTTACTTGGCGAGTTTGCTCAAGATACTCGGGGACCTCTTCACGGCGATCTGCGACGGCGACCTTTCGATCTCGTTGGTGGTCTCGGCGCCGGCCTTCTCGAACACTTGGAACCGGGACTTCACGTTCAGGCTCGACAACTCCTCGAGGCCCAGGTCCGGTTTGTCTGAGGCTGCGATATTAAAACAAAAGTTTTAACGCTTCGTCGGACGGGTGTCGCCCGGATTATACGCTTAGATTCGATGGCACACCGATGGCTGCCGATGATGCTTGCGTGATTTCTAATCGGCGATTCTGCTTCTGCGATGAATGGCGGTCATGGAGGTCTAGCCAAGCTGTGATAAAATCGTTCAGTATCGCTCTAAAGAGGTTTAACTGCTTCGAGAGTTAGTCGTTTTTTGCGTTTTTAAGGTGTTAACGTCGATTCGTGGCTCGTATTTCGCGAAATTACAATACATCCTCTTCTCGTTCAAAGCGGCATTTTTGTACATTTTTTGCGAACGTTGCCACGAATCATTTTATTAACACCCGGTACAATAATGAATCGAAATCCCGACAATCTCGCGTCCGTGGTGTCCGGTCGGAAAAATCACTTGTCCGACTAGTTACTCTCTTAAATACCTCAACCGACGTCACCGATTACGCCACCGACGGACTCGAAATTGCCACGCGTGTCGTCATGCAACGATGATTCTGTCTCACACTACAGCGACGTTACAGCATCTTACTTTATAAGATTCGTAGGTAAAGACGAAAAAAAAAAACCAACAATCCTCTATAAGGAATAAGAATGGACAAGTGGAAGAGAAGAAAGAAACGGGGACAAATAAAATTAAGAAAGAGAGTGGACGAAAAAGAGAGGGAAAACAAGAAATGGAGGAAGATAAGGCTACAACACTATAATGCGTGTGTTAAAAGACGATGATCAGCATGTATTAAAAAGGTGCACTCTGCAAACGGTTAGGCAAACTGTTAGAGAAAGGTTTTTTTCGTTGTTTGGACGGCCATTGGCCGCCGTATCGGTCACACTACCACCGTCAACAACTATTACCTCTGACCACATCGGGCGGCAACTCTTTCGGCTCGTTCTCCCGTATGATCAGCTCCGGCTTTCGAGGTCGCACTACGAAGTTCACAAGACATCCCTTTGTCGCATTAACCATCTCTTTGCATTTACGTGTATAATTATATAGAGGGGGAGAGGAGAGATGGGGAGAATAATAGGCTGGGTGATAGGGGAAGGGGCGGTAATTTCAGTGAAGCGAAAAGGGGGGGCCGAGCGATCGGCGTACGCACGACACATTATTCCATCCAGACTGCGTTCCCCCTTCGAGAATTCTAACCTTCTTTTTCGTTGATACGCGTGGTCGATTCAAAAAAAAAAAAAAAATGAAACGACTAAAATTCAATTCAAAAACTATAATTATAATATTTACGTGTTTGTAGGAACGGATTCTACGTTAATAAATATCTATCCAATAATAATGTTACTATAATAGAAATGTCCAATTAAATCCAATTATTTTTCGTTTTAACCGTTTCGCAATAACACCTGTTCGTTTGACGAAACTCTTTAAAGTCTTTTTAATGTGATACATCGGTGAAGAAGAAGAAGAAGAAGAAGAAGAAGAAGAAGGTGGACACGTTGTTTGCGAGAAAAAAAGGATAAAACCGCGGAATGTATACGCGGCAGAGGCGGTGATATCAAAGCGAGCAGAAAGATTAGACGCGGAGGTGAGGCTATTTCGAGGCGAGTTCCGCCTACGGAGTGTAAAGAATCGCGAGAAGAGAGCGGTGTGGCGTGAACCGTGGGGTGTGATCGACTTACCAGGCTGGTCCGACTCCTCAACCGGTTTCGGTTGGAAGAGTTCCTTGAAGTGTGGCTTACAGTAAAGCGTGCTCTCGTGGCTCTCGTAATTGTCCACGTTGAGCTGCTTGCTACACTGCACGCACCGGAAGCAATTCTTGTGCCAGACCAGACCCTCGGCCTTTGTCTGTTCCATTTGGAACACGACCTTGCCACAGCTGCGGCAGTTCGGGTTCGTGTCGCCGTTCTGACCCACCTGCCGTCAAATTTCATTATTGCTCCGCCGATTTCACCATTCCTTTATCTTTTCTCCCTCTCCCCTTCCTTCCTTTCGTTCCAATTATCCAATTATCTCCGATCGGAGAATTCGAATTCAATCCAACCAGTTTAGTTATTTTTTTTTTTTTTTTTATGTATTCGAATTGATGAGAATTTTAACGAAAGAAAGAGTGTTTGGAGGGGGGGGGAGAGGAGGGAGACATCGATTAATTTTCTTTTCTTATTTTTCTTTTTTTTTTTTTTTAATTTCAAAGGTCAATCCTTCAGCAGGGGAGTTTCTTCTCGAACGAGCAACGCCTTTGTGTTTCCTGCTCGTTTATACGAGATACGGAGAGCCGGCCGATCAATTCCGCGCCAACAACTCGAAACAGAAAGGCTATTTACACGTTCTCCGCGGCTGAAGGGTTAAGTTACGTCGATCTTAAAGTATCTCGAAGAGAAAGAGGGAATATATATATATATATATATAGAAAGAGAAAGCTTACGGCGTTCAACTGCTGTTGCACTTTGCCCGCATCGATCGAGCGCACATGCAGCACCGTCTTCTTGCTGAGGGCGTCGAATTTATTGAAGCTCGACTTCTGTAAACACAAACAGTGCACGCGTCAAACGAGAAGTGCTCGAAAGCTTCGGCCCCCTTCTTGTCGTCGCGGGGGATGTGAAAACCTCGTACGATGGTGTGTTACGGCGCGTGTTTCATTCTAGCCTGAAGCTTGTTCAGCGTGAGTGTCCAACGAAAGCGTGTCTTCTCGAAAAAATGTGTTTCCCGTCATTTCGATCTCTTTTCGCTTCTTTTCAAAAAAAAAAAAAATAATTTCGAAATTGAAAAACCCACGGTGAACATATTTTTTTTTCGTTTTGCCACACAGTGATAAGAGGACTACTGTCGAGTGCACGATTCTTCTATAAAAAAAAATCTCTTCGAACCAAACAGCGGATAAAATGCAAATCAACTTTTTTACTGTTATTATAAAGCTGTGTATATATATTCGAAGCTTATTTCGAGCAAAGAGTGTTTGGATACAAGAGAGAGAGAGAGAAAGAGAGAGAGAAGAGAGAGAGAGAGAGAGAAGGTGG